GTGAGAGGTTAACTGACATTAGAAATATTTAAAAAATTGACATCTGAAGTTGCAAAGTAAATTGTCAACTTTTATGAAGATGATAGTAATAGCAGGTTATTGCCAGGAGCAAAGGATTATATTAGCAAGACAATTGAAGATAAACATTCAGAAGCAATTTATTTAATATAATCTTTCAAAACTTTACCAGAAATGGATAGAAGGATCAAAGTCTAATGATATAGTTAAGGTGGGATTGACATTATTTGCTCTTTTAAGGGCGAAATATTGTTTACTTGCCAGTAAATCTAGCACACACACCATCAAAATCCAAATCTTGTGGTAAAAGGATTCAAAAATTAATTTAAGTCAAAAGATTTGATGGCCTTAGCTGTATGTTCATTAGAAAATAAAGAATGTATGTTTCATGTGTGTGGGAAGTGTCACGGAAATGAGGCAGTCTTCAGTTATGTTTTTAAAATCATACCAATTCTGAAAGAAGAATATCCACAAGTTCAGAAGATCCACTATTTCACTGGTGGTATAGGCAGCAAGTATAAAAATAGGTAAGGTAATTTTTTTTATTCAGGATATTCAAAAAATTCTGATTAACCAATTTTAACCAAACCTTATTCAGTTCTTGAAATGACGTTTTTCAAATTTGATTGTAAATTAATAATCACTATATGAATAGATATCTTTTTTCTTATTGTATTATTATATGGTTTATTTTCTTATTATAGGTTTAATTTGAAAATCTTTTGTTTTCATGAGAAAGACTACAGACTGAAAGCAGATTAAATTTTTTTGGCACTGCACATGGAAATAGTGCATGCGATGGAGTAGGTGATACAATGAAAATAGTTATTAATGACTTGCCCCTTCAAAGGCAGATTTTAAATTTTTTTGACACCTAAAGACATGTTTTTAGATGCTAAAGAAAAATTTAAAAACATCAGGTATATAGCATTTTAATGTCTGAGTGTATGTGCTTTTGGGTTATGATTTTTTTTTCAAATAATTGGTGTTTTGTATTTTATATCACAATGGACATTTAATAAAAAAATAAATAAAAACGGTATATATTCTTAATTATAAAAAAATCAATCCTAATAAAAAAAATGTTGAACTTTTTGTTATAAAAGTTTTTTAAAAGAAAGTTGTATAAAAAATGATTCTTTAAAACAAGGCCTTAATAAATACGTTTTTAAAACAATGTTCTCGGATTCATCTGAATTTATTTTTAGAATTCTATACATTTCTTAAACAGAAACTGCTAATACACATGAAGTGCTACTGCTAATACACATAAAGTACTTGCTAAATGATTTGAGAATGTTCCTGCTATTAAAGGAACTCACTTGTATAATTATTTTTCTCCTCAATCATGCTGTTTAAAAGCTTATGTAACATCAATGAGCAGTACGTTTGACATGCTGGAAAATACTTGGCTTAATGCATAAAAGTCACTGAGTATTGCTGATTGGGTATTAGTGCATTATTTTGATGAACTTTTTCCTGGAAAGATAACAGATCTTAATCTGATATCCATTGGTATCCAGTTAGTGACATTATTGTCACATTAAATGAGTCTGAGCTCAAAAATACTCCAGGGTTTTACTCCTATCTTATTAAAAAAGATTAAATGAATTATCATACCATATATTAAATAAATTATCATATATTAATTGTTTTCAATTATCAATAAAGTAAAAACCAATCCTAATAATAAAAGTTGTTTGTAACAAGTTTTGATTTTTTTCTTTTTTTTTATCATTGAATTTTTTAATACTTCTTATATATTATGTCTTTTAAAAAACTGTTCAGCATTTTTTTGAAAGATATAAATCGTTTTTGACTTAGAGATATAATACTCTGTAATTGTGTAAGCTATGTTTAAAGTATCAGATTTAAACAATAATGAGGGTCTCTATACTATCAATCTAGTCTATAATGAGGGTCTAATATACTATCAATCTTAGATTAACATAATGTGTTAATCTAAGATTAATAAAAATTTACAAGTATCTCAAAATGGCTGAAAATTTGACTTTTTAGGCTAATTGGAAATATATTTTTAGATATATTGGAGTTCTAATCAGCATTAAGTTGCTTATATTTTGCCCATTTACTGCAGACAATAGCAGCTAATCAAAAATCTAATCTGTAAAGACTTTCTGACGAATAGTAAAATACTATAGTAAACTTCATTTTGATATTTTTTAGCAATTTTCATATTTTTTTCTAAGTTGAGGAGGTAAAAGTTTTTTTCTATTAAAAAGCAAGTTAATAAAAACCACTATTTTTAAGTCAAAGCTATCTGGAAAATAGTTCAATTAAAATTGAAAAAAAAAATGAGGTCCCCATTTGCAAAGCGCAATAATTCGCACTTTGCAAATGTGCTTATTTTGATAAATTGCCTCAACACTTTTTTGTTGAGTCAATTTATCAAAATACTACAAAGCCAATTGCAAAAACCTTTGCATATGCCAAGTGCCAAGGTTAATTTTGCACGCTGTTTATATATATATATATATATATATATATATATATATATATATATATATATATATATATATATATATATATATATATATATATATATATATATATATATATATATATATATATATATATATATATATATATACATATATATATATATATATATATATATATATATATATATATATATATATATATATATATATATATATATATATATATATATATATATATATATATATATATCAGTCCTTGCGATGAATAAGAACTGCGCGACGCATAAGCACGACGCGATTTTTGACGTCATTAAATTCTTTTTATTTGCTTTTCATATTTATCGACATTAACTGCACCAATTTACTTAATTACCGCAAAACTACTTTAAATCGTTTATGTAGAAATGTTATTATTTAAAAATGTTTTGGAATGTCGTTTGGAAATTCGTTTTTTAAAATGTAAAAACATTTGTTTATTTTCTCGACGTTTGTCACGTTTTGTCTATACTAAACGAATAAAAAACATAACTTAAATTTAAAAAAGATTATAAAATATGCTAATGTTTGATTTTTTTTTTCTTAAATATGTAATTTAAAGTTTTTCAAATAATTATTTTTTTTTTTTAAAAAGTCAGCGAGGAATAAACTGGAAATTTTAATATTGTACGATTAAAAACTGTGCAATCGCTAATATTTTTACAAGCGATTTTATATAATATTTATTTATTTATTTTCATAAAGCGGTTGATAAGCTCAATCACTCGTATTAATAAAAAACTTAAACGAACGTTTTGAATAGATTCTTAATGTTAAACAAGGAATTTTATTTCTAGTAAAATAAAATAAAATGTTAGAATAAAAATCTTATAGGTATAAAAGAAATATTTCAGCAAAAAAATTATTCTTAAAAATTATTATTAAAAATTATTCGAAAAACTATTGATGTTCTATTTTTCAGCAGCTGTTCTTGAGCACGCTTCGTTAACTTTTAACATAAAAGCGATCGTTATTATTTAAGTAATTTTTTTGTGTTACTTTTTACAAAAATTTTAATAACTGTACTTTTTTATTGAATCCAGTAGAATACGTTTTAATATTAATCCTTTTTTATTTTTTTAATTTTCGCTCACCAATTTTTAAAATGTTTCCTCGAAATTACTCTTAAATACTTTAAATACGTCTAACAGTTAATAAATATTTTTAAATCTATGGAATAATTATTTAAATAATTATTTAAGTTTAAAATCTAAAACTTAAAGTATTTTTGTTCAATTTTATCGACAACTGAATAATTTTATTAAAATGTTAGTTTAAAAGATTTAAACTTTTTTTTTAATCTGAATTTTTTCTACTTGTAAATAATGAGCATATTTAATTTTTTATAATTCAAACTTTTATTTCAACTGCGTGCAGTTTTTAAAATACTTTATTAAATGTTAAAATAATCGTAAATTACTTCATTAAAATTCGGCACAAAAATATCTTTAAATATACTCAAACAGAAAATTTTTTGCTCGACGCAAATAGCCCTAGCTACACGCAAAATCGCTCTTGGACGACGTAAAATTCACATCGCCCGACGCTTTATCGCAAGGCCTGATATATATATATATAATTTCATGGTCTTTGGTGTCCAGAATCTCTAAATATGTTGATTGACTTATGATCTGCAAGCAAAAAAATTTAATGAGATTTAATGACTTGGAACTTTTTGTTTTTAAGGCTAGAGTCTTTGCCGCTATTATACCTAAGGACTCTAGTAAAAATTGATTGTTCCTCTAACTTTAAAGTCCTAATTTTTTCCCCATTAATTGTCCAAAAGCTTTTTATACTTTCAGAGCTCCTGGATATCAAAAATTAGTAAGAGTTATTCTTTTAAAAAAAAATATATATATATATATATATTATTATATATGTAATATTTATTGTATATATTATATACAATGTAAATACAGGCTTTCTCTGGAAACGCGTGCGGTTGCACGCCTTGAATGACCATGCATATATATATTTTTTTTGTTGATAACTTGGCCACGATTTTTTTTCCATATATTAAAAATTAAGCATTTTAAAAATGCGTTGAAAAACAAAACTAGTTAATTATATTATTTTAATTTTCTTAATAGTACTTTATTATTATAGTTATTAATGAGAAAATAAAAACATTAAAAGAAACATATATATGGGCAATTCCAATTTTAACTTACGTTACACATGCAACAACTTTATTAAATATTATATATATATACATATATATATATATATATATATATATATATATATATATATATATATATATATATATATATATATATATATATATATATATATATATATATATATATATATATATATATATAGTATATATATATATATATATATATATATATATATATATATATATATATATATATATATATATATATATATATATATATATATATATATATATATATATATATATATATATGGTAAAACTATTGTTTTTAAGAAGTTTTTATTATACAAATATTTTTTTAGGGTCTCTTTATTGGAACTGATTCCGGTCGGGTATATCTATGTGCACAAGCTGATGATTTTTCACAGCAAAAAGTTTTATGTATCTCACCATCATTACACAGCTTGATTTGGAGAGGACCACAAAATCCTATTGAGTATAACTCTGGATGTATGTTTGATAATTGTTATGGCTGTTTTGATCCAGTTCTACGGAATAGAGTCTTCAGATTCAAACAATTTTAGTTTTCTATTAAAAAAAAACAAAACATATCTTCACTTATTCTTATTAGAATCCGATTATTGGGAGTTTTTTCTAGAGTTAATTGTTGTATTAGTTATTTTGTTTTAAATCAGTTATTATATATATTTATTTTTACATATTTATTCAAGGCAAATATATATATTCACACACATATAATATATACATATACATATATATATATATATATATATATATATATATATATATATATATATATATATATATATATATATATATATATATATATATATGTTATATTCACACACATATATATATGTTATATATATGCTTATATTTATATATATATATATATATATATATATATATATATATATATATATATATATATATATATATATATATATGTGTGTGTGTGTATAATCTTAATAATAAATAATATTTTTCATAACATAAAAAATTTGTAAATTGAAATTTTTTTTTAGATAAATGTCTTGATTTTTTTTTTAAGTTTATTTTAAATGTTGAATTTTAGATCAACAATAATGTAACCTAAAAACCCTATTTATGGTTAAATAGGGTAAGAAGCCTATTTACCTATTTATGTAAAACCCTATTTTTTTTTAAGTTTTCTCATGCACTGGTTATAAAATCCAATTGTAATTGTTTCTACATAGATATAACTGCATATAGTTACGCATTAAAAACAGTTCATAGTTTCTTGTTGCCTCTGCTATATTTATAATTCAAGGTTTAAAAATGAAAAAAAATTATCTGATATAAATAAGATGAGTGATTCTTATTCCATTTGTTTGTTGTTTTAAAAAAAAATGTAAAATACATGTTTGAGCAACACTGTCATAATGTGCAGGTTAAAATTATGTTGTTGTTTTTCAAAATGTCGAGATTTCTACATTGTGGCCAAAAGTAAATGTGATTTTATTATTCAACATCTTATAAGTACAAAGTAAACATGTGCAATTCAAAGACTTTCTAGTGTAGCTGTTAGAGCTGTTAGAGTCGTAAAGAAATTCTCATAGTAAATATTTTTATCCTATATAATAGTTTTATATTCATATCTAAATCTTTCTAAAAAATTTTTAATATAAATTTTTTTAGATAAAGTCTAGAATTTTTTTATATACTTTAATAATTATTTATGGTAGTAGTTTCTTAAAATTTTTTAAAATCATTTTTTTAAATAAATTGTTGTCTGTAATAATAGTTTTATAAATTGCACATGTATTGCCTCAGAAGTATCGTGTGCAGAAGTATCTTTATATGTGTAAAAGAATTTGTAAGTAATGTTATTGTGCAGTTTTAAAATTAATGATTTTAATATTATGCTTACTCTCAGGGCTCTCATGACATTTTAATTTTTGCTTACATTGCTAATTATTTTAACTATTAGATTATATATCAGTTTTTGAATTAAAAAAAATGGATCTTCCAACAATTTTTTAAGAATTAAAATGAAAACATTACAAAGATATGTCCTGTTTTTTGTTATTTCTATTTGTGGTATTATTGCATTTGGATTAATATTGTTGAGAACAAAGTTAAAAGTAATAAATGTAATTATGTTTTTTTTTTGTAACTTTTAATGTTTTATAAAACATTTAACTTCATTTGAGTATTTTATATTAAATTAAAAAAAAAAATACATCAGTAAGTTAATTAAAAATTATATTATTTCTAAATTTTTTGAGGATGGTGTTTTAACAAGAAATATTTTGTTCCAAAATCTACCTGAAAGTAAAGATAACCGATATAAACTTTGGAAAAACATTTGGATTCCAGTGTACCAACCTTCTGCATATGATATTGGTATTGCAACACAGTGTTCAATTAACAATTTATTTTATGTTGCAGATTTAGTTGCAAGTTGGCCTGGTACAATATCTGTAGGTATGTTTTTGAAACAAAGTTGTAAGGTTTTTATCATTTATAAATCCTCTTTAAGTGAGTTATTTTCTTTTTTAGCTGTGTTTTTTGAAGGAAGTAAGTTAAAAGAATTTGAAGAAAGTTTGCATTTTTTACTTCATTGTCACAAGGATGTTGCAAGAAGAGTTAGTTTTCATGCAGTCTTACCATTGTCACATCCACCTTTTAATAATTTGTTAAGATTAACAGAGAAAAAATTTCTAAAGTGTGATAAAAATGTCCTTAATCATGGGAAAAAATTGAATTATGACTTAAAAATGGTAATTTGCATACTGATTATTTATAATGATTATGTAATAATTTTGTTAATGATATTAGGTAATTCATGTGATAGTATTATTATTATTATGAGCTTTACTAAAAAACAGTTGTATTTGATTAATTGTTAACCTGTTAAAGGAGAGAGAGAGTCTCATCTGTTGACTACTCATAAAGTAAAAATTTTTTGATAAGAAGCCGAGTGGCAAAACAATTTTTTAGTTTAAAAAGCATGACCTCTTATAACAGATTTGTTATTAGTTTTTGAAGATTGTTTGATATTTATAGTTGTTGTTTAGCCATTTGAAAACATAAAATGAAAATGTAATTGTATATAATAATTATTTAGTGCGAATTATGTGGGGCTTTTAACTGAGGTTACCTTTTAGCTGGATTTCTTTTAACTGAGTTTTGGTGAAGAGTTTCATTTAAACTCATCTGGGTCTGTTTTTTTTTTTTATTATTTTTATTTAATGGTTATTAAGATGCTCCCAGAAGTCTTAACACAGAACCCCGCGTAAGAACATTTTACTAGAAAGTTTGTCTCCTTCCTTACTAATGTCGCTTATTGGGCTAGAGCCAGCGTAGAACAACGTAGACCTCTTGGTTCTGAGCTAGAGCTCTAACCACTGCCACAGCTGCAAAAAGGTTTGTTTGAAAGAAGATCAGATTCAATAAATTCAGGATAGATCTTAATTGGTAGAGAGATAATTTAAGCATATAGAATGTAGGTTGAATTTTGTACAACCTACCTAATTTGGTACAACCAGTGAAAACACAAAGTGAAGTATTGAGTTTTTACAAGATTGGTAGTAACAGTTTTTCAGATTTGTTGTAGTAATTTTTTGTTTCAAAAAAAGTTCATAAGTTTTTTTTATGTATGAGAAAAAAGCTCTTTATTGATGTTTTTAGCAATTTCTTTTTCATAATCCATTATTGCTGCATTAGCTTTAATTTGTGCTTTGTAATATTTCTTATATGTTTTATCATTTCATTTACAAATTTAATATTTGTATTTAAATTCTTTATTTCTCTTTTTTTTTCATATACTTGATTGGTAATCCATTGTGCATAAATTAAAATTAAAATTGTTTTTTTAGGACATAATTTAAGCGTTTAAATTTTTTTTTTTTGGAATATGTTTTTTTTAAGGATATAATTTAGGCACTTTAAACATGTTTTTTTTTAAAGTATATTTTTGGTTGATCTTTTTATATCAAATGTTTTTTATAATTAACAATCAGGTTGTTTTTATAATCAAACTTTTTCAAGTTGTTTTTTAAATTAATAAAAGTCTTCTTTCAATTTAGTTGCACTTAAGTTAAACTATTTTAAGCATCTTTTTTTTTTTTTTTTTATACCAATCTCTTTAAATTAAAAAGCTTAAAAAGTTAAAAGCTTAAAAAAAGCTCTATTAAAGAAAATGTTTAAAAAAAAGGGTTTTGCTGATTGTGGCGAAAAAATTTGTTAATTGAGATTGTGGCTAAAAAATTTGCAAAAAAAACAAACTTTGATATCTTTAAAAAAAATCCACCATGATGTCATAAACTGAAACTGTTAGGAATTAAATACGCATGAAATAAATTATGCAGTCTGCTGGTTGTGGCATATATTATAAAGACTTAGAGAACCAAGAAAAATCAGAGAAGGTAAACTTTGACTAATACAACAATTTTTGTTTTATTTATATGCATTTATGATTTATTTTTAATCAAAAAAATATACCCCAAATGTTTTTTTTTAACATTTTCTTTTAAACATTTTCTTTAATATAAACACAACTTGTTTCCACACTTGGGGATCCCTTTAAATATAATTGTTTTTTTTTTTTTAATGTTACGATAATCTACATTTTACATAAAATTTTTCCATAAAATACTTCTAAATGATGGGTAAATCAGTTTAGAAATACATCAAAGAAATAATAGTTTTCTGAAGTCTACTAGCATATTCTTACTCTCATATTCTACAAAGAAAATAGGAAATAGAAGTTGTTCTGTTAATGGAATGATCTACAAGAAAAATAGAGCTTTGTTTAATAATTTTCAATTTTATGCATCTAAGACAATAGATAATTTTTTTTTCATATTTTTACAGTACTATATAAAACAAATTAATTTTTTTTGGTAAAAAAAATAATTATCTATATAAAATTTAAAATAAAAAAAGTAAATAAACAAATTTTCTATTCAAATAAGTTAAGTTTTTTTTGTGGATTAAAAAAAAAACACTTATATGTAGTTCTCTGCTACTTTTAATGTTTTTGTTTTAAGTGAACTTAAAAATTCTTAATATAAATTATTACGATACGCTAACACCTGTTTTTCTATTTGTGACATACTAAGCTAGAAAATTAATTTACCATTCTACTAGTTAATTTATTGTTTGAAGCTTTAATTCTTGGTAAAATTTATTTAAAAGTACTATTTTATCAGTCTGATTTAATCATTTTATTTTATTAATTAAATCTGAAAATGATTTGAATTATAATATAAACGATAAAAATTCCTAATTATGACTTACATTTTGATTGTTAAGTAAACCCCAATTTTTTCAAAATTTTAACACCAAGGTTACTGTGTCAAGTTTTAATTATGGGTAATGTGAAAAGTTTCTAACCAACCCATGTTAACTGATGGATCCACTAGTGGTATCAGGTACCACCTGAAAACCAAGCATGCCAATGACTAACTGAGATAGTAAAGGCCCATGTTGATCTTGAACGCCAAAGAACTTTAAATATTAAAGAAAGTGCTATTAAACTGGATAATGCAGTAAGTTTTTTTTAAGCCAATACTATTCTTGTATAACACTGGTTTTTATTTTGTTTTTTTTGGATTGACAAAAAAATTGTAAAAAACAAAATTATTTGCACCAAATAACTATTACTGCAAAAGTGTTAGTGTGTCAACTGTCAAGAATTCAGTGATGTTGAGTACCAAAAAGGACTTCAGATTTGAAAGTATGAAAAAATATATTTCTTCCATGTTTTTGGTATTCAGAATCTCAAAAAACACTTTTTCAAGGTACAAGCTGCAATTGCTTTTTAATTGTCATAGAAACAAAAGTTAATAAAAAAAATAATAATTCCAATTGTCAGCAGCTAGCTGTTACTATTATTACTGGACCTCTTGATCAGAAGATCCCTACATGACTCCAACACTTCACAATATCAATGACCAGTTTGAAATATAGAAATATGTAACTAACTATGCACTAAAACTTTGTAGGAAAACACACTAGTTACCGCATCAGCAAATTAAATTATTTTATATATATCTTGTCAAAATTAGTTAATTCTTGTAAAAAATCAATTATTGGTTAGATTTTATTTTTTGCAAAATAATATTTTTTCTGTAACAGTTTTTTTCTTTTAAAATTCTGTTATTTGTTACAAGAATCATTACTTTATTGGAATCAGTAATTTATAATCATTTTTGTTTCAGGCTCTGGAGGAAATGGCAACATAGAATCTGGTGTTGGATACCTTACTTAAGAAAGTTATTGTTCAATATGTAGCAGCAAAATGAGCAATGAATTTCAAATTATCTGAATAAATCTATCTTTACAACCTATCTAGGAGAGTCACCAGATCTACCCTAGCTAGTCAACTTATTAAGAAAGAATACGTAGTAATTGCTGTTATTCTAAATGATATCTAGTTTTCACTGGTGACTTAACTGATGCCAGTTAACAAAGATTATTTTCAAATCTATGCCCAAGGAAGCTGAATTAATTTGATAATTAACATAATTATTAGAAATATCTTGGTAAATTGATACATAAGAAATTCGCCTTTATTAAATTCAAATCTAAAATTTTTAATGATATGAAAAAACATACTCACATAGCATTTTATTGAATGGTTTTTCTAACATAAATAGATTTATTACTTACTATTTAAAATACTATATTTTAAATAAAATGTCTCATACAGATTTTTAACACAACAATATCAGTCTTCTTTGTTTGATAAGCGCTTTCGCGCTCTTGCAGTTTTGCGCTCACCCACATGCCCGCCAATACTATGGCTGGCGCTATTTTAGGCGCTCGCTAAAAAATTTCAAGCATGTTTTTAAATTGAAACAAATTTTTTTTCTCAATCAAATTCTAAATAAAGAGGTAAAAAAACAATTCTTTTTTTAAAATCGCGCACACCTGACAAATAATTACTGTCCGGCCAGCGCTTTTTCGTGCGCTGACGGTAAATTTCAAACTGAGAAGACTGCGATATATATTTTAAATAAAATGTCTCATTCAGATTTTTAACACAACAACATATATTTAAATAAAATGTCTCAAACAGATTTTTAACACAATAGCGACTTCAAATAATACTTAATTTGTATTGATTTTTACGAAACAACAAAAGTTTTTCTGAAAAAATTTTATTTTTTGTAAAAATTTTATAATTTTTTTCTTTCCATTTAGTTATCATATCCAGTAAATTTGCTAAGGAATACAGCTATTAGCACACTTAAAACAAGTCATGTTTTGCTCATAGACATTGATATTATCCCAAGCCCAAATCTATATTATGATGTTATAAAATGGCTGCCACAAGATCTGGAAGGTTGAATTGTTGTTGATAATCATTGTGATTATGGGAGACTGGAGCTAGTCACAACACTTTTTCAAAGACTGAGCTTACTTTGATTTTTTTAAAAAAGATTTTGGGTGGGAAATTAATTTTCTTAAAGATTTGCTGGGAAATTAAATTTTAGGACATATTAATCCAACATTAATATATATAATGTAAAATTTAGTTATCCCACAATATTGAAAATGAGATAAGTTTTTTTTATTTTTTGCAATTTGCCCCATTCAGGAACAAGTTGCAACAGTGAAAGGGGTTGCAACACAAGTTGCAAGTTGCAGCACAATATTTTAAAAGATTAATTGCAAAATGCTGTCTATAAAATTATTAATTAGTTTGTAAATTATATTGTTTCAAATAAATTTTATATTTATAATAGATTAAAAGAAAAGCAAATTATTTGTAGAGTTTTCATTAAGCTAAACTATTTTAATAAGACTTTACACAAGTCTGTTTACATTACTTTTATGATTAATGTTTACTTTACTTTACATTACTTTTA